CAAACCCTCGGCAAGTGAAAGGTGAAGAAAAAAAAAAAAAAAAAAATTGGCTGAGGCTGCCAAAGTGGAAGCCGGACGTGGGGCGTGGTGACGTACACCTGTAATCCCAGCACTTGGGAGGCTGAGGCAGGAGGACTGTTGTGAGTTCAAGACCAGCCTGGGCTACAAAATGAGCTCAAGGCCAGCCTGAACTGAACAGCAAGAGCATGTGTCAAACAAACAAACAAACAAAAAAATTGGAAGCCGGGCTGAGCCCTGCCCCTGGCTGCTCTGCTGTCACTGCTGCCCTTGGCTTCTGCCTGCTAAGGTGCGGAGAACGGAGCTCCAGGCCCAGGTGACAGGCGGCCAGTGTGTTCTCAGCGCCCACACCGTCCAGTCTCCATGGCTCACTCTCTCCTGGGTGGTGGTGACTTTAGCAGTCTCATCCATGCAGTCCTTCCTGCAACACCAGAGACCCTGTTCTGCCAGGACTCACGACTCTGTAAGCACCAAAGAAAGTCCCCGTATCGCAGCCTTTTCTTTTTTCTGTCCTTTTCAGACAGGGTCTCACTATGTATTTCAGGCTGGTCTTAAACTTACTTTGTAGCCTAGGCTGGGCTTGAACTCACAGAAATTCTCCTGCCTCAGCCTCCTGAGTGCTGGGACTATAGGCATGTGCCACCATGCTCGGCCACAGCCTTTGCTATACAGGTGATTTCTTCTTTTCTGGAACCAACCATGGCAGCTACAGTATCTCTGTGGGCACAGTAAGCAGTTATCCCTTTGGTCTTCTACCAGCCCCTCCAGACCTAGACCTCTTGTTCCCTAAATTCCAAATGCAGGGTAACCTGTTGCTTTCCTCTCTGTAGCTATTTCTTAGTGCCCCAGAGACAAAAAGAAACTCATGATTATTATTATTTCAGCAGGGCAGGAGGTCAGGTCCAGGAGGCTGAGGGTTTTCCTAAGCCCCAAGGTGCTTTCTTAGTATCTTAAATTCTCACCAACTAAGTAGCTTTCCCTGAGCTGGCAGAAAAGCTGATAGTGCTTGCTTCCATGAAAGCTCCCGGGTTTGATCCTGTGTCATAACAACAGCAAATCACCACTTTGCATATGTGTTGGGGGCCTTGGATCTGTGATTAGTAACAACAGGAAAGCCAGGTGTGGCAACCCATGCCTGTGATCCCAGCACTTGGGAGGCTGAGGCAGGAGGGTTGCCATGAATTTGAGGCCATAGCTAGACCCTGTCTCAACGCCCCCAAAAACAAAAACAACCCCCTCCATAACAATAAAAAAACAAGAGGAGTCTATTTCTTTTTTTGTTTTGTTTTGTTTTTTTTTTCCTGTACCGGGAATCGAACTCATGACCTTGCGCTTGTCAGGCAGGTGCTGTGCCACTGAGCTAAATCCCCAGCCCCCCTATTTCTTCTTTAGAGGTGGTATTGGGTTCTAGATTGTCAACCCCCAACATGTTCTGCTTTGGGCTGATTTGGGTATCAGCCTGATAATCCAAGGGAAGTGACAGTGCTATAAGGGTATGAATTGACCTTACATAATTT